CCTAAACCCCGAACCCCAAACCCTAAGCCGTTCTTAGGTCATGGTGGGCTTCGGCCGCACGGGCCACTTCTTCGGCTTCCAACACTTCGAAGGCCGGCCAGGGGAGACTTCCAAAGCACATCCCCAAAGCAAGATTCTAAGAAAGGGGTCGGACAAGTTAGAGATACGGTTGATGATATAAATCCTGCATTACCCATAAGGTATATAATAATATCATTCCCATAGGTTTATATCATCAACAACAGTTTAGGGTTTAGGGTTTGGGGCTTGGTGTTTCGGGTCTAGTGTAAAATAGTAAGAGTATCCCCTTCTGTATTGCTGACTGTATTCATGGGGTTAAAGCAATAGCAACATACCGGCTCCTCGCTAAGTTGCAGGCTCCAACCCCTAAATTGCAGGTGTCGTGCCGGACATCGTGACGTCCGCCAAGGGCCTCACCGCCTCCTTCATGCCGCTGTCCATGGTCGGAGCCACTCCGAAGACTTCATAAAGACTTTAGGGTTCAGGGATTAAGGGTTTAGGGTTTAGGGGTTTAGGGGTTTAGGGTTTATAGTTTAGGGTTCAAGCTTTTTCAGGTTTAGTTCAGGTTTGGTTCATTTGAGTGTTGCCGACTGGAACTGGTCTTCGCTGAGCCGTAGCTTTATCCATATACACTATATACATATATATATATATATTATGTATATACATACAAACAGACAGGCAAGCAGACAGGCAGACAGACAGCCGGACAGACAGACAGACAGACAGGCAGACATACATACATGCATACATACATACATACATACATACATACATACATACATGTACACACATATTTTACAAAAAACATTTTTCGTTCACTTGTTTTACGTATTTAGCTATTCGTTTATCTTTTTATATTTTATATCACATGTGTATATATATATATATATATATACGTACATATGTATATATATATATATGTCTTATACATGTACATACATACATACATACATACATACATACATACATATATACATACAAACATACATACATACATACATACATACATACATACATACGTACATACATACATACATACATACATACATACATACATACATACATATTAGTTAGGAGCTCCGTCCGAACTCGAACTCGAAATGAGGTCCGACAGAAGATCAAGGAGTACTTCATGACGCACCCCGTTGGCTGGGGCTCCACCTTCCACGCCCATCCTGCGGTTTGGTCAGCATGCTTATGGTTTAGGGCTTAGGGCTTATGGTTTAGGGCTTAGGGTTTAGGGCTTCGGGCTTAGGGTTTAGGGCTTAGTCATATTTCTGACAGCTCTTGAAAGCATCGCAGAACGTTCTGGCCTTATGAAGATCTCGGTGAGACCCCGCATGACCTTACTTCATGTAATTGTCTAGCTTAGCACTTGGATGGAGCTTCAGCCTCAAGCTGCGAGATGAAGGAGAAAGTCAGGCTGAAGCAGCCTGGAAGGCCCTAGATTGAAAGCACCTTCACAATCCCAAGCCTGTAATTAGAAGCATAAGTTGTAACCTTCCCCCCCTTCAAACCCTCGACTGCAGCTCAGGTAGCTCTGGCTTGCGCCTACGAGACTGTGAAGTATGTGCTGAAGGCTCTCCCTTCGCATGCTTTCCCCATGACTCCCACAACTTACGTACATTTAGCGCAACAGCCGCAAACCAGGCGAAAAAGATAAGGTCAACAAGCTTGTTCTGTGGCTTCTCGTTTCAGTGCTCTACGGAACAGCATTTCATGCGGCATAAGATTTTCCTAATTTTCCTTTGGGCGTCTATAGATTTTGTCGGCAATGTTCTCCGTCACTTCCACCACAGCCGCAAACGCAACCGCAAGCACAGCCACAAACACAACGACGATAACGGCAACGACAACCACAACAACAACAACAACAACAACAACAACAACAACAAAACCAACAACAAGTAGTATTAACAGTATTACTGCCAACAAGAAAATCATTGCAATAATAGTAGTAACATTAAAGATATGAAGAACAAGAAGAACCACAATCATAGTCACAAGCTTAATCGTGTCCTACACGAATAACAATGAAACGTAACAATACACGATGACCGTACAAATCACAATTCCAATAACAATAACGCCATATCAACTACAGCAACCACAACAGCTACCCTCACTATCGTAGGTATAGTAGCAGCTATTCTTCATGATGGTACTAACTGCATACCCTAAACCCTAAACCTTAAAGGTGGAAAAGGGCCTTCAACAAAAAGACCTAAACCCTAAACCCATGTTTTGCAACTACGCACCCCGTTGCAGGAGAACGTGCTTGACAATGTGAGGAACCTGGAGCCTGTCATGCTGGAGGACAGCGGAGTCCCAGAGCATGGGGATTGGGGTATGGAGATTGCGGAATTATGGTTTAGGGACTTTAGGGACTATAGGGTTTAGGGTTTAGGGTTTTATGGTTTAGGGACTAGGGTATAGGGTTTGGGGTTTAGGGTTTTATGGTTTAGGGGTTTAGGGTTTAGGGTCGTCTCTTGTAGGGTTCAGGGTTCCTTAGTGTTATACACCCGGGCAAGGGTTCAGGGGTTCAGTGCTTCTGCAGAGGAGCTCCAGAAACTGACGCTGAAGCATGCCTCCGTGCGCCAGGCATCGAGTGGTGTCTATCTTTTTGGGGTGTGGGAGGTGTGTCGGTTACAGGGGCGGGCATCTCAGGGCTTGGGAGGAATCCTCTGCTGATGTTTGGCGACGGTAATTATCAATACTATTTTGGCAGCTCCTTATCATTATAGCTGAATAAAGGTACACCCAAACCCTACTCTAACTAT